TTCTCTGGAAACAAAGACGACCCGATGAGTCTGTCCGCTCCCATCACCAACATCATGAACATCAACTGTTCAGCATCACATGTGAGGCTGGAGATCCACGAGCTGCTCCACATGAACACGGCCGGGATCAAGACCACCTTCCTGTTCAGGAACCAGAAGACCAACGCTGACCAGATGATTCATAACACCAACGCTGACCAGATGATTCATAACACCAACGCTGACCAGATGATTCATAACACCAACGTTGACCAGATGATTCATAACACCAACGCTGACCAGATGATTCATAACACCAACGTTGACCAGATGATTCATAACACCAACGCTGACCAGATGATTCATAACACCAACGCTGACCAGATGATTCATAACACCAACGTTGACCAGATGATTCATAACACCAACGTTGACCAGATGATTCATAACACCAACGCTGACCAGATGATTCATAACACCGCCTGTGGGAAATCATGGACGGCAAACAACGAGTCCCACCATGTGACCAACCACAGCTCAGACAACAGCTTCACCTTTGGGTCGGTTCACAGTGACTCAGCGTGCATCAGTTCTGATTCCGCCCACAGACTACAGAGGTCAGAGTTCATGTTGGAGACTCCGCCACCTGTGTTCAGGTTGGGACCTGCAGGGAAGAGGAAACACTTCAAGAAGGGCGCCAGTGCTGATGACTTCTGGGACATCCCGCCCCCCCGAGAGTTCTCAGACCTCAGAGTGAAGGTTCTGGACGAGCTGACCCAGGACCTGTCCTCCTGCAGGCTCTCAGAGAGACCGCTGGAAGAGCTCCGCCCCCCACACATCACCTGCCAGGACTATAGCCAGTACTCTGAGGGACGCTCCCCGTCATTCGATCAGGTTTCAGAGCCTGACAGCTTCGAGCCGTCCCTCATCAGACCGTCCCTGTCCACCAACAGGTCCAGCTTCACCAGAGACTTCATCAGCGGGCAGCACAGGAAGTCCTGGATCAGGAACAACAGCATCGCTGCCGTGCGACACAGAACGTGCTCCATTCCAATGAAGAGACGGCAGACGTATCCCGGGACATCAGGGGGTCTCAGCCTGAACCAGGACCTCCTGGTGGCCTGTGCTGGATCTTTGTCCTCCTTGATGATGAGCTATGACGATACAGAGAGTGCCCCCCCAGACGAGGACGGCGAGGACGGCGTCTCTGCTTTCAGAACAGGAAGTCTGAACTCTTTACACAGCCGGGGTTTGAAGCAGATTCTGATCGGCTCGTACTACCTGACCTCCTCTGACGATGCGTTCACTGTCACTGAAGAAAGTGGAGGAGCAAGCAGCGTCAGGTACAACGTGAGAGACGTCATGCAGAGCGTCTGTGTGGATCACAGAGAGTTAGCAGACAGCGGCTTCGACCAGGAGATGGGGGAGGGGGAGTGTCACAGCCTGTACCCCCCCACAGAGGAGGAGGAAGAGGAGGGGGAGGGGGAGTGTCACAGCCTGTACCCCCCCACAGAGGAGGAGGAGGAGGAGGAGGGGGAGTGTCACAGCCTGTACCCCCCCACAGAGGAGGAGGAGGAGGGGGAGGAGGAGGAAGAGCTGTGCAGGAGATCCCTGATGATCCAGGTGATCCCTCCATCCTGCAGCGGCTCAGAGGAACACATCCTGTCCCATCCAGACCAGCAGGACTCACATCTGTCTTCACCTGGACTCAGGAGGTCCTCAGGTAGCCCGGTCTCCGCAGGTGTCCTTCAGCAGAGACTCCTGCAAGTGGACGGGAGGCTGTCCCCGAGCGCCTGTTTGGACAAACATCACAGCAAGTCTGCAGTAGACTCCCGCAAGAACTCCCTGAGCACACACGAGGACCCGGAGCAGACCTGTCCCCCTGAGTCTGCAGAGACCGAGGAGACGGAGGACGGACCTTCAGGGTCTGCATCGAGTCCAGTCAGAGGGTCTGCAGAGTCCGGGGAGCAGCTGAGTCCGACCTGCAGAGCAGACAAACACACGACGTCCAGAAGTGAGTGAGAAAGAAGTTCAGATAAAAAATGAACTTCAGACATGACGAGTAGATTTAGAGAACATGCAAACCATTCATTCACAAACCTGTTATTCACTCTCTGACTCACTCAACATGATAAACTGATTGTTTGGTTTGGACCTCAGACCCTGCAGCTCCTTTCTGCGTCACCTCTCATCACTTTCTCTTAATGAGCCTTGAAGCCTGTACGCTGCTGCTCACACATTTCTTCAGAGTTAGAAAATGATTCTTAAAAAGCACAAAGTAGATTCAAATATAAGCTCCATTAAAACGAACAGATATCAGATAATGTGTGGTGTTATCTGAGCTCAGCCTGGATGGGGGTCAGGTAAATCTAACAGACTGTTTGTCATCGCTAACAGCTGGAGAGCACCTGAAGCCAGGGGTCCACAAGGAGGCAGACTGCAATGGATCAGATCACTGGGCCAAGAGGAGGAAACTGTTCAGAGAGAGCAAACAGTGGAGCTCTGCAGCAGGAAGCTCCATCACCAGCTCCATCACTGAGGAGTCAGGTCAGGACCCCCCCAGGTTTCAGGGTCTCCCTGTTCACTCAGGAGACCAGTAATCAAGTCTCTAATGAAACTTAGAGTCATTAATGATCATTAAAGAACTCAAAAAGGTTGAATCTATACGTCAAGGTTTTGGAGCCCAAAGGGAGTCAGAGTCCCACTAGAGAGACTTTAGTATCTGAACTTTAGTATCTACAGTTTGATACATGATGATTTGGACAGAGCTAAAGAAACTAAAGACAAAGGAAGTGAAGTGAGACCCCTGATCCTGAGTATCACACAGACCTCATGTTCTGACTGAGCTGCACTTTATCAAGAAGACTTTATCTAAACATGTGAGACGAGTTTCAATGTTTGAAACAAAGCTTCCTCAACCATCGACTCACATCATCGTCATGGTAACGGCTCCAGATCGTCTCCACACATGTGGATGAAGTGTGGTCAGCCCCCTGGTTATATTAATAACAGTCATGTCAGAGTCTTATTTTACAAAGCTTATATTTTGAAGGCACAGAGACGCTGTCTGCTCTGCGGTGAAGTTAGAGGAGAGTTTAACCCTTTGTGTGTGTGTGTGTGTGTGTGTGTGTGTGTGTGTGTGTGTGTGTGTGTGTGTGTGTGTGTGTGTGTGTGTGTGTGTGATCAGATGGTGTCTTTCTGACTTTGCTGTAAAAGATGTTCAATCCTTTAGTGGCCCTCGGTGTCCTGGGTTTAATACCTGTGACGTTTGCTCCAGGTGATCTGTGATGTGTAAACAGGTTTGTTGTGTTTCCTCTCCAGTGTCAGAGGAGACTCGCTCCATGGACGTCTCGGTAGGAGACGGCGAGGACCGAGGATTCTACACAGAGACGTTTCACGCTTCAACCTGGATCTATCAGGGAGACGACATCAGCTCAGGATCCATCCCCCCCAGTCTGAACACCAGGACCAGAGCCGTGTCCAGTAAGAGCAGACCCCCTAACATGTCTCAGGTCGAGGCGTTTGGTTTCAGAGGTGAGACACTCAACATGTTTCTGTCTCTTCAGTTCGAGAGAGGACGGTGAGGATCAGTAAAGGGGCAGGAGAGTACCCCTGGGGCTTCAGGATCCAGTTCTCAAAACCCATCGTGGTGACTGAGGTCGACACAAGTAAGTGAACACCTCACTCAACAAATCAGTCCTGAGGTTTAAACCATCTGACACCTCCTTCATAGACCCTGAGTCCACTATAAACCATCTGACACCTCCTTCATAGACCCTGAGTCCACTTCTATAAACCATCTGACACCTCCTTCATAGACCCTGAGTCCACTATAAACCATCTGACACCTCCTTCATAGACCCTGAGTCCACTATAAACCATCTGACACCTCCTTCATAGACCCTGAGTCCACTATAAACCATCTGACACCTCCTTCATAGACCCTGAGTCCACTATAAACCATCTGACACCTCCTTCATAGACCCTGAGTCCACTATAAACCATCTGACACCTCCTTCATAGACCCTGAGTCCACTATAAACCATCTGACACCTCCTTCATAGACCCTGAGTCCACTATAAACCATCTGACACCTCCTTCATAGACCCTGAGTCCTCTATAAACCATCTGACACCTCCTTCATAGACCCTGAGTCCACTATAAACCATCTGACACCTCCTTCATAGACCCTGAGTCCTCTATAAACCATCTGACACCTCCTTCATAGACCCTGAGTCCACTATAAACCATCTGACACCTCCTTCATAGACCCTGAGTCCACTATAAACCATCTGACACCTCCTTCATAGACCCTGAGTCCACTATAAACCATCTGACACCTCCTTCATAGACCCTGAGTCCACTATAAACCAGGTCTGTCTCAGGCTGGGTGTAGACCCTGAGTCCTCTATGAGGACCTGTCCCCTTTAGTCTTTGTGTTAACAGAGAGTTCTGTGTGTTTATGTATTTCAGACGGAGCAGCAGAGGAGGCCGGTCTAATCGTAGGAGACTACGTCCTCGCTGTTAACGGGACCGATGTGACGAGCATCCCTCACTCTGAGGCCGCCGAGCTCGCACGACAAGGTACACACACAAACACACGCACACATTATTCAGAGCGTGTGACGGACTTTGTCTGCTTTTATTTTCTTAATTAAAACCAGAATTGATTCATTTGTTGTCTCAGACTTTTGTTTTTGTTGCCGTGGTTACAGACAGGTGTGCATATTGATATCATCCTGAAAACAGTTTTGCTGTTGATGTTGTAGGTCCAGATGATCTGACGTTGACCGTTGGCTCAGATATCGCTCGCTGTCCTAACACCCCCCGCCCGGCTTGTCGAGGTTACCTTCACAAGCGCACCCAGTCGGGTCTGATTAAAGGCTGGAGGAGGAGGTGGTTCGTCCTCACACATGACTGCTGCCTTTACTACTACAGACACAAGCGGGTCAGTACCACGCACCTCCACACACACATACGTCTGAACCAAACATGAGCTCTGTTTGTGACATCACTTCCTGTCTGTTTCAGGATGAGGGGAAGGGGCGGGCTCTGTTGGGGGTGAAGCTGGAGGGGGCCGAGGTGGGAGCTGATGTCTCTCTGGGGAAACCGTTTGTGTTCAAGTGTCGACCTCAGAGTGGGAATCGAGTGTTCTTCTTCTGCGCAATGTCCAACCAGGAGATGAAGAGGTACCAAAAAAACGTTATTTCTCTTTTATTTGTGTAGTTGTCAGGACGTGTTGATGATCTTTCAAAATAAAAGTTTGAAGGCTGAGTGATAGACATTTCCTTCATGGTGTTCTCTGATTCAGAGAGTTGTGCAGATGTTTCCGTTCATCATGTTGAAGGTGTGTCTTTATGATTTCAGGTGGCTTGAAGCGATGGAGAAAGCTGTTCTCCCCATCACACAGGTAAAGTCTGAATGAAGATTATTGTTTTATGTACAGATGTTTGATGAGATTGGATGCGTCACTCTCAGCAGTCACACTAAGTCTAATCTCATCTGTGTTCAGAAACATGTGTGGGTGGATGTGACCCTACATAACTCAAGCCTGCCCCCGCTGGCCGTGAAGAGCCCTGAGTGTTTGGGACTTCTTCATAAGATGGACAAAAGCAGAGACATGTGGGTGCAGCACTACTGCATCCTGAAGGACGGCTGTCTGTCTCTGTACAGTGGGATCAGAGCCACACACGCACAAGGTACACCTCTACCGTCTGTTTGCTACCTGCTGCACCGCGTCTCACATCTCTATGTTTAATGTTAATGCATATCATAATGACTGTGTGTCCTCAGGTGGGATCTACCTGCAGGGTTACCAGGTGAGAGAGCAGCCGTACGGATCAAAGAAATCCACCATCGAGCTGAAACCTCCGTGTGATGAGTTCAAGACGTTTTACCTGTGTGCTGAAAACCCCAACGAGAACAAACGGTGAGAAAAGTCTCAGAAGAAACTTCTACAAAGATTCTGTTTGAGTTTAAGACTAAGAATTTATTTTACTAAACGAGAGGAGAGCGTCCGAAGTTTAGATCAACATCACAAACATGTGTGTTCATGGAGAACAGGTGTGTTCATGGAGAACAGGTGTGTTCATGTTGAACAGGTGTGTTCATGGAGAACAGGTGTGTTCATGGAGAACAGGGGTGTTCATGTTGAACAGGTGTGTTCATGGAGAACAGGTGTGTTCATGGAGAACAGGTGTGTTCATGGAGAACAGGTGTGTTCATGTTGAACAGGTGTGTTCATGGAGAACAGGTGTGTTCATGGAGAACAAGGGTGTTCATGTTGAACAGGTGTGTTCATGGAGAACAGGTGTGTCCATGTAGAACAGGTGTGTCCATGGAGAACAGGTGTGTTCATGGAGAACAGGTGTGTCCATGTAGAACAGGTGTGTTCATGGAGAACAGGTGTGTTCATGGAGAACAGGTGTGTTCATGGAGAACAGGTGTGTTCATGGAGAACAGGGGTGTTCATGTTGAACAGGTGTGTTCATGGAGAACAGGTGTGTTCATGTTGAACAGGTGTGTTCATGGAGAACAGGTGTGTTCATGGAGAACAGGGGTGTTCATGTTTGAGTTTAAGACTAAGAATTTATTTTACTAAACGAGAGGAGAGCGTCCGAAGTTTAGATCAACATCACAAACATGTGTGTTCATGGAGAACAGGTGTGTTCATGGAGAACAGGTGTGTTCATGTTGAACAGGTGTGTTCATGGAGAACAGGTGTGTTCATGGAGAACAGGTGTGTTCATGGAGAACAGGTGTGTTCATGGAGAACAGGTGTGTCCATGTAGAACAGGTGTGTTCATGGAGAACAGGTGTGTTCATGGAGAACAGGTGTGTCCATGTAGAACAGGTGTGTTCATGGAGAACAGGTGTGTTCATGGAGAACAGGTGTGTTCATGGAGAACAGGGGTGTTCATGTTGAACAGGTGTGTTCATGGAGAACAGGTGTGTTCATGTTGAACAGGTGTGTTCATGGAGAACAGGTGTGTTCATGGAGAACAGGGGTGTTCATGTTGAACAGGTGTGTTCATGGAGAACAGGTGTGTTCATGGAGAACAGGTGTGTTCATGTTGAACAGGTGTGTTCATGGAGAACAGGTGTGTTCATGGAGAACAGGGGTGTTCATGTTGAACAGGTGTGTTCATGGAGAACAGGTGTGTCCATGTAGAACAGGTGTGTTCATGGAGAACAGGTGTGTTCATGGAGAACAGGTGTGTTCATGGAGAACAGGTGTGTTTATGGAGAACAGGTGTGTTCATGGAGAACAGGTGTGTCCATGTTGAACAGCTGTGTCCATGTTGAACAGGTGTGTTCATGGAGAACAGGTGTGTTTATGGAGAACAGGTGTGTCCATGTTGAACAGATGTATCCATGTTGAACAGGTGTGTCCATGTTGAACAGGTGTGTCCATGTTGAACAGGTGTGTTCATGGAGAACAGGTATGTTCATGGAGAACAGGTGTGTTTATGGAGAACAGGTGTGTCGATGCTGATGTCCATGATGTCATCCTCAGGTGGATCATCGCTCTGAGAGCGTCCATAAAGAAGTGGCTTCCTCTCCATCAGGCCCTGCAGGACTACATGAGCCGCCTCCCAGAGGAGACCAGGATGTGACCCTCTGTCCGACCCCACCTGAAGACCACAACCACCTGAGGGTCCAGTACATCCACCTTCCCTTATATTTTGCACTTTCTGTTCACTGTAATAATTATAAATACGTTCAGAACTGTCATTTCTGTTGCTTTTCTTTGACACCCCCTCCCCCCTCCCTCCCTCCCTCCCTCCAGCACCTTACCTGAGCTGTCAGGTGATTCTGACAGTTTGGGACTGAACATATTGTGCCATAGGCCTTTTCAAATTGAGAGTTTAATGAAATTTTGTGATGATACTTCAGCATGTTCACTTATTCCATTTAATTTAAACTCATCCTACTTGATTCAAAGCCTGTCATCTTTTTTGTTTATGATTTGAACTTTTATATTTGACGTGTTTTTCTACATTTAGAAGATGAATGTCATATCCTGATTTTTATATACTCTCACACATTTGAATGCATCGTTATGTTAGTCAATTCTGTGTTCATATCCTCCTTCTTTTGTCTGATGTTTGCACAATATTTCTGATTTCTAAACTTCAGCAGACACGGCTCATCACAACACGAGCTGAATAACAGATTTATACATTTATAAACCTTAACACAACATATGATGTCATTTATACTTGTATTAAAAAAACAGAATAAAATTAACTTTGTGTCTTTCATTTTTTCTTCTGTCAACATGTTTGTTTCTGCTGTAAAGTTAGACATTTTAACATGGGGCTCTATGAGGACTGACTCACTGCAAGAGACAGACTCTAGTGGACACTGGAGGAACTGCAGCTGTAAAGTTAGACATTTTAACACAGGGCTCTATGGGGACTGACTCACTGCAGGAGACAGACTCTAGTGGACACTGGAGGAACTGCAGCTGTAAAGTTAGACATTTTAACATGGGGCTCTATGGGGACTGACTCACTGCTATAAACAAATTAAAACGTCACATACAGACCTGATGCTTGTTCTTCGTTCTCCATTCTGCAGCTCGAGGTGTAACTGAAGCTCACATCATCTTCAGAGAAAGACGTCCATGTGTAACGCTCCACATTTCCTCATCAAATGAACACCAGTAGATCCATACATGCAGCTCCTTGTTATAAATGTGAGACGCAGAGTCTGAGCCGTGGTGTCAATCATCTTTAATCATTGAACAGTCATTGGTTACATAGTGTACATTTCTGTTTGGCTTAAGAGTGCATAAGAGTGATTCATGTACAGAGTGAAGTGAAACAGTTTGTACACCCCCAAAGTTTGACATCAAAGACTCAAAATATATCTGAATTTTAAATGATTCGGATGTTTGTTAAAGTCTCGTGTCAGCCACCATGAATTACATCTGCACTAAGAGCTGTTTGGAATGACACAACCTCCACCTGATCACAGGTTCACCGTTACATCAGAAACATCCCTTCTAACAACCACCTGTTTACGTAACTGTGTTCTGTGTGTGTGTGAGAGACACCTGCACATGTGCAGAAACCCTAAATCCTGAACTACAAAATAACAGTAAATACTCTAAACCAAGTGAGCATCATGAAAACATTTAATGGCACTTGAACGGTTACTTCTACCTGACATGACACGTTTGAGAACTACATTTCCAACCGTCTGCAGGTCAGAGCTCACAAGTTTAAATTCAACACAGGCCGACTGTAAACGTCCACAAATGCTGTCCAGAACGAGAATGAGATCAGAGTGAGTCTCAAACATGAACACACACTGAACACAAGCTTCCGCTTCCGCTGATCACACAAAGGAAGTGAAGCTCCAAAGTCTGCATGAAGAAGAACTGAGTTATGTGTTTCCTCACACAGCTGTCTGATATTTAGGTGTTTTATAAACGATAACCGGCGCTCTGCAGGAGGCGTGGTGATTCACTCTTTACCTTTCATAGTCGTATTTCAATGTGATGTAATTTTATTAAATAATGTTACGATCAATGGATAATTTAATATTACTTCATGTTTTTCATTTAGATGGAACGATGCATACACCTGTTCTACGTCTTAAATAATATATATATATATATATATATATTTGAATCTAACACAGACTATGGTCCATTCAAATCATCAACACCGATGTTTCATTCAAAGTTTCAGCCCGTCTGTGAAGGATTGAAACTTTTCAGACTCTCTCAGGTTGGTTAAAAAACATTTTTCTCAGAGTTACATATTAAAACATTTTACTCAGATTGGTTGAGAATCTAAAAAAGGAAAAAAAAGTCTCCAAAGTCAGGAAAAGATCAACACAGAAGACGTCGATGTCAAGATGCTAAGATAATAATAATATTAAACTGCTGCAGTGAAAAAGAAAACAGACAAAATAGATCTGTCTTTAAAGCTGTTCATCAGTCTGCTGTTAAACTAGAGGGGTGTACAGATCTGTAGTGTGCACATGGCTTTCATTATGTACAAATTACTGCAGTGTTAGATTTCTGCAGTGTTACAGATAACTGCAGTGTCAAGGATTACTGCAGTGTTACAGATAACTGCAGTGTTAAATTACTGCAGTGTTACAGATAACTGCAGTGTTAGATTACTGCAGTGTTAGATTTCTGCAGTGTTACAGATAACTGCAGTGTTACAGAGAACTGTAGTGTTTAGGATTACTGCAGCGTTACAGATAACTGCAGTGTTAGATTACTGCAGTGTTACAGATAACTGCAGTGCTAGATTACTGCAGTGTTAGATTTCTGCAGTATTAGATTACTGCAGTGTTACAGATAACTGCAGTGTTAGATTACTGCAGTGTTACAGATTACTGCAGTGTTAGATTACTGCAGTGTTACAGATAACTGCAACGTTTCACATAACTGCAGTGTTAGATTACTGCAGTGTTACAGATAACTGCAGTGTTTCACATGACTGCAGTGTTAGATTACTGCAGTGTTACAGATTACTGTAGTGTTAAGGATTACTGCATACTGCAGTGTTAGATTACTGCAGTGTTACAGATAACTGTAGTGTTAAGGATTACTGCAGTGTTAGATTTCTGCAGTGCTAGATTACTGCAGTGTTACAGATAACTGCAGTGTTTCACATGACTGCAGTGTTAGATTACTGCAGAGTTACAGATAACTGTAGTGTTAAGGATTACTGCAGTGTTAGATTTCTGCAGTGCTAGATTACTGCAGTGTTACAGATAACTGTAGTGTTAAGAATTACTGCAGTGTTAGATTTCTGCAGTGCTAGATTACTACAGTGTTACAGATAACTGCAGTGTTTCACATGACTGCAGTGTTAGATTACTGCAGTATTACAGATAACTGCAGTGTTAGATTACTGCAGTGTTACAGATAACTGCAGTGTTTCACATGACTGCAGTGTTAGATTACTGCAGTGTTACAGATAACTGTAGTGTTAAGAATTACTGCAGTGTTAGATTTCCGCAGTGCTAGATTACTACAGTGTTACAGATAACTGCAGTGTTTCACATGACTGCAGTGTTAGATTACTGCAGTATTACAGATAACTGCAGTGTTAGATTACTGCAGTATTACAGATAACTGCAGTGTTAGATTACTGCAGAGTGACAGATAACTGCAGTGTTAGATTACTGCAGAGTTACAGATAACTGCAGTGTTAGATTACTGCAGAGTTACAGATAACTGCAGTGTTTCACATGACTGCAGTGTTAGATTACTGCAGTGTTACAGATAACTGCAGTGTTTCACATGACTGCAGTGTTAGATTACTGCACTGTAACAGATTACTGTAGTGCTGGATTACTGCACTGTAAGATTACTGCAGTATTAGATTACTGCAGTGTTACAGATAAGTGCAGTATTAGATTACTGCAGTGTTAGATTACTGAAGTGAAACAGATTACTGCAGTGTTAGATTTCTGCAGTGTTTCAGATTACTGCGGTGTAACAGATTACTAGTGTTACAGATTACTACTTGTTAGATTACTGCAGTGTAACAAATTACTGCAGTGTCCGATTACTGCAGTGTTACAGATTACTGCAGTGTCCGATTACTGCAATGTTCAATTACTGCAGTGTTAGATTACTGCAGTGCTACAGATTACTGCAATGTTAGATTACTGCAGTGTTATATTAATGCTGTGTAACAGATTACTGCAGTGATACAGATTGCTGCAGTGTTACATTACTGCAGTGTAACAGATTTCTGCAGTGTTACAGATTACTGCAGTGTTAGATTACTGCAGTGTTATATTAATGCAGTGTTACAGATTTCTGCAGTTTTACAGATTACTGCAGGGGTGGATTAGTGCAGTGTTAGATTACTGCAGTGTTACAGATTGCTGCAGTGTTACAGATTATTGCAGTGTTAGATTACTGCAGAGTTAAAGATCAGTGTTAGTAAATGTCCAACAGTTTATCATCTGCAAAAAGTATGAACAGAAACACACTAATGACCAGCTGGGAAATGAACATACACACTTTGTTAGATGTCACACAGTCTGTACACACTGCTGTGCGATCACAGGCAACACACAAAACACTAATGTGTGTTTTTTCTAAGTGACCAGATTCCAACATAATTACCTACAAATAGATGTTTAAAAGACTGAGGTCGTATTCTTCAGATCTGCATGTGATCAGCCTGCAGGTGAAACTTCACTGTTTGATAGTTTCCAGTCTATACACTTCCAAATAACCTAAGTGTCAAATCTGGATCCAGTACTGTGTAAACCTTAACCAGTAAAACTGTGAATGAAAACCATTAAGTCAAACGTTTTATCCAGTTTTATTGTAATTCATAGTATTCTTAATGTGTTAATTAGCTTGTCTTATACAGGTGTTAATTCTGAATCTAACAAAATGTTGAACAAAATGTCTGCCAGCTCAAAGATTCTCGCTCATCAGAAAAAAACAGACAGGAAAATGACCCAAAGGCCACCAACACGGAGACAGAGATATGAGTATATGTGAAGAGTTGGATATATTCATTGGTCAATATTGATCCAAGTCAGGTGATACTTCTTGTGCAATTAAGTGTGAGAGGAGAGAGTGTGGATTCTGGGTGAAATCGAACACAAACTTTCAGCTGTGGGCAGAGACAAAGAAAGTCCAATGAGTCCGTCTGTGGGAAACTTTCTGCCCCTCTCTCTTCTCTCTGCCTAAAACACTAACTATTCAAACAGGGAAGAAGAACCACGGAAACATGGCATTTTAAAGAGCAAAGAGATGACCTTAGTATCAGTATAGACGCAGTGAACAGGTGTTGTCAAACCTGAAATCCTCAGAGTCCTCACAATAACAGAGTTTTAAATCAGACGTGTGGATTCAGACATCACCCTGGCTTCACACCACTGTGTTCAGGAACATTTTAAGGCTAAAGCTGTTACACAGGGTTTAAAGATGGAGGCTGTCTGTTCAAAGAAACCTTCTGTCTGACAAAGGACTCACTCTGGAGAAATGTTACGGTAAGAACAAAGTTCCCAGTTCTCCCAGTGAGAACCAAGAAAGGAGGCGGGTTCTCCAACTGGAGCTGAGAGAATGTTCCTCTTGTTTACAGAGTCTGAATGTTCAGATGGACTTAAAATAGAGCAGTGATGATGATGATGATGATGATGAAGATGATCTTCATTGAAATAAGATGTTTAAACACTCTGTTGTATGACCCAACAGTTCATCTATAATTCAACTGACAGTGATGAGATCAGAGCAGGTTCAGTCTGTGATATGTGCTTCTGTAAACACACACACACACACACTCACACTCACACTCACACACACACACACACACTCACACACACACACACACACACACACACACACACACACACACACACACACACACACACACACACACACACACACTAACATGTTCACCTGTTATTGCTAAATTTAAATGATTCACATTATCTAACCCCTCTCCCGACTCAATAATAATCTAACAGGATTATCAGATCATCTCTGCTGTTATCTGAGGAGAGAGAGAGCGAGAGAGCGAGAGAGTGAGAGAGAGAGAGAGAGGGAGCAGGAAATAGCACCTAATCCCTCGGGGGGAGGGGGCAGGTGTCTAAATCAGCTTCAAGTCTTGTTCCTGGTAAACACTCGCTCCCCCCTCAGGGTGAGGTGCTGCAGCTGGTGCTGTAACCCGTCTGTGTCTGACGAGTCCTTCAGACTCAGTCTGTCCAGATTCAGGTAGTCCAGGGACTTGGACTGGGCCCTCTTCCCTTTCAGCAGGCAGAGGGGAAGTGGGGCGTGCAGACCCCTCCCTGTTTCTCCATGGCCTGGGGGTCTGAGGAAGGTCTCACAGGAGCTGGGCATGCGTCTCCTCCTGCGTCCCCCAGAGGCCGGTATGTCATACGGCTGGTAGTATCGCGTCTTTCCTTTAAAGACTCGGGAGGACCGGTGGACTGACAGGTCCATGGACTTGGGGAGGGGGGTCTGCACTGTTCCGGACAATGACTCCGAGACTGGACTCTTCTCAGGACCCCCCTCCGACCATCTGTGGGCCAGTTTGAGCAGCTCCTCCCCTGTGGTGAAGCCCACCAGGTAGTTGGAGTCCATGTGCAGGATGTGATACCCGGACACGGTGCCCCTGATGGGGGAACAGGGGGTGCTGGCACAGCGGGGTCTCTCTGGTTCTGGTTTCAGGGTGGCTTTGATCTCGGCAGCAGGGAGGATGGAGACATGAGCCCGAGACCCCCCGCTGACATCCATCTCCATCCTGATAGACATCCCCCTGACAGAGAGAGAGGAAGGGGGGGGGGGACGACACCATGTCAGTTTATAGAGGTCACTACAGCTGAGCACACACAAACAGTTCATGTTGGTGTTTGCTGTCTAACTTTCAGTCAAGCTAACAACAAGCTACAGTAAGAGGTGGAGCTGAGGCGGGTTTTAACCGTTACACCACGCCCACCTGTCAATCAGGTCAGCTACACGCCTTATTGTGAATAACTCTTATCCTTCATCAAATCAAAACTGATGAGTCATCAAAACATTCACCCCCCGTACAGTGTGTGTCCATCGAGACATGAGCTAATCACACCTATTTGTTTTTTTGAACCAGGCTGTAAACATGTTCATCTCTGCTGTAAAAACAGGCTTTTTAGAATGGGTGTGTATGTGACTTCCTGTGCTTCTACAGCCAGCCTCTAGTGGACACTCCAGGAACAATAGCAGCTCTGACTCTAACATGAACAGATCTGACTGTATAACATGAACAGATCTGACTGTAACATGAACAGATCTGACTGTATAACATGAACAGATCTGACTGTAACATGAACAGATCTGACTGTAACATAAACAGCTCTGACTGTATAACATGAACAGATCTGACTGTATAACATGAACAGATCTGACTGTAACATGAACAGATCTGACTGTATAACATGAACAGATCTGACTGTAACATGAACAGATCTGACTGTAACATAAACAGCTCTGACTGTATAACATGAACAGATCTGACTGTAACATGAACAGATCTGACTGTAACATAAACAGATCTGACTGTATAACATGAACAGATCTGACTGTAACATGAACAGATCTGACTGTATAACATGAACAGATCTGACTGTATAACATGAACAGATCTGACTGTAACATGAACAGATCTGACTGTAACATGAACAGATCTGACTGTATAACATGAACAGATCTGACTGTAACATGAACAGATCTGACTGTAACATAAACAGCTCTGACTGTATAACATGAACAGATCTGACTGTAACATGAACAGATCTGACTGTAACATAAACAGATCTGACTGTATAACATGAACAGATCTGACTGTAACATGAACAGATCTGACTGTATAACATGAACAGATCTGACTGTATAACATGAACAGATCTGACTGTATAACATGAACAGATCTGACTGTAACATGAACAGATCTGACTGTAACATAAACAGATCTGACTGTAACATGAACAGATCTGACTGTAACATAAACAGATCTGACTGTAACATGAACAGATCTGACTGTAACATAAACAGATCTGACTGTAACATGAACAGATCTGACTGTATAACATGAACAGATCTGACTGTAACATGAACAGATCTGACTGTATAACATGAACAGATCTGACTGTAACAAACAGATCTGACTGTAACATGAACAGATCTGACTGTAACATAAACAGATCTGACTGTAACATGAACAGATCTGACTGTATAACATAAACAGATCTGACTGTAACATAAACAGATCTGACCGTATAACATGAACAGATCTGACTGTAACATAAACAGATCTGACTGTAACATGAACAGATCTGACTGTATAACATGAACAGATCTGACTGTATAACATGAACAGATCTGACTGTAACATGAACAGATCTGACTGTATAACATGAACAGATCTGACTGTAACATAAACAGATCTGACTGTAACATGAACAGATCTGACTGTAACATAAACAGATCTGACTGTAACATGAACAGATCTGACTGTATAACATGAACAGATCTGATGTAACATAAACAGATCTGTCTGTAACATGAACAGATCTGACTGTAACATAAACAGATCTGACTGTAACATAAACAGATCTGACTGTATAACATGAACAGATCTGACTGTAACATGAACAGATCTGACTGTAACATAAACAGATCTGATGTAACATGAACAGATCTGACTGTAACATGAACAGATCTGACTGTAACATGAACAGATCTGACTGTATAACATGAACAGATCTGACTGTAACAGAAACAGATCTGATGTAACATGAACAGATCTGACTGTAACATAAACAGATCTGACTGTAACATGAACAGATCTGACTGTAACATTAACAGATCTGACCGTATAACATAAACAGATCTGACCGTATAACATAAACAGATCTGACTGTAACATGAACAGATCTGACTGTATAACATGAACAGATCTGACTGTAACATAAACAGATCTGACTGTAACATGAACAGATCTGACTGTAACATAAACAGATCTGACTGTAACATGAACAGATCTGACTGTAACATGAACAGATCTGTCTGTAACATGAGCTGAGGCGGGTTTTAACCGTTACACCACGGCCACCTGTCAATCAGGTCAGCTACACGCCTTATTGTGAATAACTCTTACCCTTCATCAAATGAAAACTGATGAGTCATCAAAACATTCACCCCCCGTACAGTGTGTGTCCATCGAGACATGAACTAATCACACCTATTTGTTTTTTTGAACCAGGCTGTAAACATGTTCATCTCTGCTGTAAAAACAGGCTTTTTAGAATGGGTGTGTATGTGACTTCCTGTGCTTCTACAGCCAGCCTCTAGTGGACACTCCAGGAACAATAGCAGCTCTGACTCTAACATGAACAGATCTGACTGTATAACATGAACAGATCTGACTGTAACATAAACAGATCTGACTGTAACATAAACAGATCTGACTGAACAGATCTGACTGTAACATGAACAGATCTGACTGTAACATGAACAGATCTGACTGTAACATAAACAGATCTGACTGTAATATGAACAGATCTGACTATAACATAAACAGATCTGACTGTAACATAAACAGATCTGACTGTGACATGAACAGATCTGACTGTAACATAAACAGATCTGACTGGAACATAAACAGATCTGTCTGTAACATGAACAGATCTGACTGTAACATAAACAGATCTGACTGTAACATAAACAGATCTGACTGTAACATGAACAGATCTGACTGTAACATAAACAGATCTGACTGTAACATAAACAGATCTGACTGTAACAAAAACAGATCTGACTGTATAACATGAACAGATCTGACTGTATAACATGAACAGATCTGACTGTAACATAAACAGATCTGACTGTATAACATGAACAGATCTGACTGTATAACATGAACAGATCTGACTGTATAACATGAACAGATCTGACTGTAACAAAAACAGATCTGTCTGTAACATGAACAGATCTGACTGTAACATAAACAGATCTGACTGTATAACATAAACAGATCTGACTGTAACATGAACAGATCTGACTGTATAACATGAACAGATCTGACTGTATAACATGAACAGATCTGACTGTAACATGAACAGATCTGACTGTATAACATAAACAGATCTGACTGTAACATAAACAGATCTGACTGTATAACATGAACAGATCTGACTGTAACATAAACAGATCTGACTGTATAACATGAACAGATCTGACTGTATAACATGAACAGATCTGACTGTATAACATGAACAGATCTGACTGTAACATGAACAGATCTGACTGTATAACAAAAACAGATCTGACTGTAACATAAACAGATCTGACTGTATAACATAAACAGATCTGACTGTAACATGAACAGATCTGACTGTAACATAAACAGATCTGTCTGTATAACATAAACAGATCTGACTGTAACATAAACAGATCTGACTGTATAACATAAACAGATCTGACTGTAACATGAACAGATCTGACTGTAACATAAACAGATCTGTCTGTATAACATAAACAGATCTGACTGTAACATAAACAGATCTGACTGTATAACATAAACAGATCTGACTGTAACATGAACAGATCTGACCGTATAACATAAACAGATCTGACTGTAACATAAACAGATCTGACTGTAACATGAACAGATCTGACTGTAACATAAACAGATCTGACTGTAACATGAGCTGAGGCGGGTTTTAACCGTTACACCACGCCCACCTGTCAATCAGGTCAGCTACACGCCTTATTGTGAATAACTCTTACCCTTCATCAAATGAAAACTGATGAGTCATCAAAACATTCACCCCCCGTACAGTGTGTGTCCATCGAGACATGAGCTAATCACACCTATTTGGTTTTTTGAACCAGGCTGTAAACATGTTAATCTCTGCTGTAAAAACAGGCTTTTTAGAATGGGTGTGTATGTGACTTCCTCTGCTTCTGCAGCCAGCCTCTAGTGGACACTCCAGGAACAATAGCAGCTCTGACTGTAACATGAACAGATCTGACTGTAACATGAACAGATCTGACTGTAACATAAACAGATCTGACTGTAACATAAACAGATCTGACTGTATAACAAACAGATCTGACTGTGACATGAACAGATCTGTCTGTAACATGAACAGATCTGACTGTATAACATGAACAGATCTGACTGTAACATAAACAGATCTGACTGTAACATAAACAGATCTGACTGAACAGATCTGACTGTAACATGAACAGATCTGACTGTAACATAAACAGATCTGTCTGTAACATGAACAGATCTGACTGTAACATAAACAGATCTGACTGTATAACATGAACAGATCTGACTGTAACATTAACATATCTGTCTGTAACATGAACAGATCTGACTGTATAACATGAACAGATCTGACTGTAACATGAACAGATCTGACTGTATAACATGAACAGATCTGACTGTAACATGAACAGATCTGACTGTATAACAAACAGATCTGACTGTAACATGAACAGATCTGACTGTATAACATGAACAGATCTGACTCTAACATGAACAGATCTGACTGTAACATGAACAGATCTGTCTGTAACATGAACAGATCTGACTGTATAACATGAACAGATCTGACTGTAACATGAACAGATCTGACTGTAACATAAACAGATCTGACTGTATAACATGAACAGATCTGACTGTATAACATGAACAGATCTGACTGTAACATGAACAGATCTGACTGTATAACATAAACAGATCTGACTGTAACATGAACAGATCTGTCTGTAACATGAACAGATCTGACTGTATAACATGAACAGATCTGACTGTATAACATGAACAGATCTGACTGTATAACAAACAGATCTGACTGTAACATGAACAGATCTGTCTGTAACATGAACAGATCTGACTGTATAACATGAACAGATCTGACTGTAAC